CCTCTTTTTCTTCCTTCCTTCCTTCCTTCCTTCCTTCCTTCTTTCTTTCTCTCTCTCTTTCTTTATCTCTCTTTCTTCCTTCCTTCCTTCCTTCCTTCCTCTATCTTTCTTTCTTCCTCCTTCTTTCTTTCTTCCTCCCTCTTTTTCTTTCTTTCTTCATTCCTTTCTTTCTTCCTCTATCTTCCTCCTTTCTTTCTTCCTCTCTCCCTCCCTCCCTCCCTTCCTTCCTTCCTTCCTTCCTTCCCCTTCCTTCCTCTTCCTTCCTTCCCCTTCCTTCCTTCCTTCCTTCCTTCCTTCCTTCCTCTTTCTTTCTTCCTTCCTTCCTTCCTTCCTTCCTCTATCTTTCTTTCTTCCTCCTTCTTTCTTTCTTCCTCCCTCTTTTTCTTTCTTCCTTCCTTTCTTCCTTTCTTTCTTTCTTCTTTCTTTCTTTCTTTCTTTCTTCCTCCCTCTCTTTCTTTCTTTCTTTCTTTCTTTCTTTCTTTCTTTCTCTCTCTTTCTTTCTTCTTCTTCTTCTTCTTCTTCTTCTTCGGTTCTCCATCCACACTTTACTTGGTTTTCTTTCTTTCTTTCTTTCTTCTTCTTCTTCTTCTTCTTCTTCTTCTTCTTCTTCTTCTTCTTCTTCTTCCTCCTCCTCCTCCTCCTCCTTTTTGGGTCACACCCGGCGATGCACAGGGTTTCCTCCTGGCTCATGCACTCAGGCATCACTCCTGGCGGTGCTCGGGGGACCCTATGGGATGGTAGGAATTGAACCCGGATTGGCCGTGTGCAAGGCAAACACCCTCCCTGCTGTGCTATCGCTCCAACCCCTCCTCTTTTTAATTTTTGCTTTTTGATGGACAAGCTGACGTTTAACTGAGTGGTTAAAAGTGGGTCGTGAAGATTCCCAAGTGGGTCGGCAAGATTCCATTCGACAGAGGTTTCCTGCAAACACCGCCCAGTTGCCGGACCCCCTCCCCGTTCCTCATCTCCCACCTCCACCCGCACCCAAAAGAGTTCTGCGTTCCCTGATGGATGCACAAATTGGGCGTTCTCCTCACACTTGCCCCTTCTGTCCACAGCACCCCGAACATCGACCGTCTGGCCAGCGAGGGCGTGTTGCTGACCCAACACCTGGCGGCCGCGTCCATGTGCACCCCAAGCCGGGCGGCCTTCCTGACTGGACGCTACCCCATCCGCTCAGGTGGGCACAAAAGCTGCAGACTCCTCTGTTGCTTTTAGGGGTCTCGGGGGCGCTCACGATGGTTGCTCTGAGTAACAGGCGTGTGAGGTCTGGTGCGGGTTGGGTGGCTGACCGGGCTGGGGTCCTGGGCACCAGCTGAAGGGTCAAAACAGCGTTGTCGACAGCCGGGGGGTCAGCTACCTCTCAAACACCAGGCTGCTGGCCAAAGCCTCCAAATCTCTTTAAGACAGATTTTGACGTTGTGCCTTTATTTACTTATTTATTTATTTTGCTTTTGGGGTCCCACCCGGCGATGCTCAGGGCTTCCTCCTGGCTCTGCACTCAGGAATCACTCCTGGCTGTGCTCGGGGGGTCCTAGGGGATGCTGGGAATCGAACCCGGGTTGGCCGTGTGCAAGGCAAACGCTCTCCCTGCTGTGCTATCACTCAAGTTCCGATGTTGTGCCTTTAGATGTGGATGATGATGGTAATAATTTTGGGGGCCATATCACAGTGATCCTTGGGACTTACTCCTGGCTCTCAACTCAGAGCTCTCTCCTGGTGGTGCTCAGGGCACTAGAGTGGGTTCCGGGGATTGGATCTGGGTCAGCTCCCGGGAAGGCAAGTGCCTTACACACTGCCCTGACATTTTATTTATTTATTTTATCACTCTTGGGCTGGAGCGATAGCACAGCGGTAGGGCGTTTGCCTTGCATGCAGCCGACATGGCCGACCCGAGTTCGATTCCTCCGCCCCTCTCGGAGAGCCCGGCAAGCTACCGAGAGGATCTCGCCCGCACGGCAGAGCCTGGCAAGCTCCCCGTGACGTATTCGAGATGCCAGACACAGTAACAACAAAGTCTCCGATAGAGACGTTACTGGGCCCGCTCGAGCAAATCGAAGAACAACGGGAGGACAGGGCAGGACAGGATTTTATCACTATTACATTTTTGCTTTTTTGGGTCAAACTCCGATGTGCCAAACACAGTCACAATAAATCTCACCATGGAGACATTACTGGGTCGCTCGAGCACATCGATGATCAACGGGAGGACAGTGTTCCAGTGGGTTACACTCAGACATGCTCAGGGCTTCCTCCTGGCTCCGCACTGAGGAATGAACTCCTGGCTGTGCTCAGGGGATCATATGGGATGCCGGGGATCGAACCAGGGCCGTGTGCAGGTCAAACGCCCTCCTCGCTGGAGTATCGCCCCGACCTCTGCCTTTACATCTTATACCAACGGTAGGCGTTCAAATTCTGCCCACACAGAGCATGCATACAGGGACTTATATTTGCTTTTAAAAAATAGAACCTGGGGCTGGAGCAATAGCCCAGCGGGGAGGGCGTTTGCCTGGCAAGTGGCCGACCCGGGTTCGATTCCCAGCATCCCCTAGGGTCCCCCAAGCACTGCCAAGAGTGATTCCTGCGTGCAGAGCCAGGACTAACCCCTGTGCATTGCCAGGTGTAACCCAAAAAGAAAAAAAAATAGAACCACTTTTCTTGAAAAACATAGGTATTCCTTTTAGGATTGGGGAGAGTTCATTATTTTGTGTTTTTTTTTTTATATATTTTTTATAATTTTATTTATTGAACCACCGTGAGAGCAGTTACAAAGCTTTCGGGTCTAAGTCTCAGTCATACAATGAAACACCCGTCCCTTCACCAGTGCCCATTCTCCACGCCCAACAACCCCAGTATACCCCCATCCCACACCCTCCCCCTACCTGTGGGGCAGATGATTTCCACATGACTCCCTCTCTACTTTGATCACATTCAATATTTCGACTCCAGACCCACCATTATCATTTGAGATTTCACCCCAACACTTAGATCTTCTGAAAAGGCAGCAGTAGACAATTTGTGTTCTATTGCTGGTTGTGAATAGCATATGATGTCCTGTGGCTGCCATAGGGCCATGAGATTTTGAAATTCCGAAATTTTAACACTTAAATCTGGAGGGATTTCTGCCAAAAGCCACTGGGTTTTGAGATTTGCACCTGAGTCTCTGTTGTGTGTTTCTTAATCGATTTAATTTTTTTTTTCATGGGGGTGGGGTGTAAGTGTTGAGGGCTTATTTCTGTGACTGTGGTTTGGCAGTGCTCAGTGGGTCATATGAGACGTAAGGGGTTGACCCTGTGTTGGCTGGTGCCAGGTGGTACTTGCAATACTTCCTGTTACAGTACCTTTCCATCCCTTTGACCAAAGATCCAGAGGCAAAGGTTTGGGTTGTTTCTGTATATTGGGTGTTGGGTCAAGGGCGGTGAGAAACGGTGGGAAGCCAGGATGGGAGAAGCATGCTGAGAGTAGACTCTAGACCGAACATGATGGCCACTCGATGCCTCTCTTGCAAAACACAGTACCCAAAAGGAGAGAGAGAGAACCAAAGGGAATGCCCTGCCACAGAGGCAGGGTGGGATGGGGGTGATGGGGGGTGGGAGGGATACTGGGATCATTGGTGGTGGAGAATGGGCACTGGTGGAGGGATGGGTATTTGATCATTGTATAATCGAAACCCAAGCACAAAAATTTGTAAGTCTACAACTGGACCTCATGGCATCTCACTAAAAAAAAAAAATTAAAAAAAAAAAAACAGTGGGAAGCAGTGTGGAGATCCATCAACATCAGGGATCAACATCAACAACAACAGCACTGTGCGATCTGTCCAACAACAGGGGCTGGAGCGATAGCACAGCGAGGAGGGCGTTTGCCTGGCACGCGGCCGACCCGGGTTCGATTCCCAGCATCCCATAGGGTCCACCGAGCACCGCCAGGAGGGATTCCTGAGTGCAGAGCTGGGAGGAAGCCCTGAGCATCGCCGGGTGTGAAGAAAGAAAGAAAGAAAGAGAGAAAGAAAGAGAGAAAGAAAGAGAGAAAGAAAAAGAGGGACGAAGGAAGGAACGAAGGAAGGGAGAGGAAAGAAAGAAAGAAAGAAAGAAAGAAAGAAAGAAAGAAAGAAAGAGAAAGAAAGAGAGAAAGAAAGAAAAAGAGGGACGAAGGAAGGAAGGAAGGAAGAAAGGAAGGAAGGAAGGAAGGAAGGAAGGAAGGAAGACAGGGGGCTGGAGTGGTAGCCTAATGGGGAGGGCGTTTGCCTGGCACGTGGCCGACCCGGGTTCGATTCCCGGCGTCCCATAGGGTCCCCTGAGCACCGCCAGGAGTCATTCCTGAGTCCATGAGCCAGGAGGAAGCCTTGTGCATCGGTGGGTGTGACCAAAACAAAACAAAACAAAAACCAAACAACTACAACAAGAACAAAACAGGTGTAGAAGAAACCACACGACCCAGAGAGGTGGGTTCTTTCCCTCCCAACTCTGTTCGGAACACAGTGTCCTGTGGTGTTGGGTTTCAGACGATGGAGCATCAATTTGGGCAATGTTCAGACTCACCTGGGTGAGCTTTCTTGCTGAGTTGATCACCATATCACGTCTGTCTCTCTCTTTGGAAGACACATGCCCTTGGGGAAGGGGGTAGCGTAAACAGGTCCTGGACTTTGGCATGCGTCCTTGGCTCACTGAGCAGGGACTCCACCTTGGTACTTAACTCCGCCCGCCCGTCTGCGTTGTAGGCATGGCTTCTTCCCACCACGTCAACCGTGACTTCACCTGGCTGGGAGGCTCCGGGGGGCTCCCCAGCAACGAGACGACGTTCGCCAAGCTTCTGCGAGACCGGGGCTACCGGACTGGGCTCGTTGGTACGTCTGCGGGGCCACTGGTGTGTGGGCGATGGGTCCTGGCGTGCTCCAGACCGGCAGGCATTGCTGTTGGATGTGCTGTGCAAGGTGGAGATTTTAAACACGCCCCTCGGGGGATTGCAGTGATAGCACAGCGGGTAGGACGTTTGCCATGCACGCAGCTGACCCGGGTTCGATTCCCAGCATCCCATAGGGTCCCCTGGCCATCGCCGGGGGTAATTCCTGAGTGCAGAGCCAGAAGGAACCCCTGAGGATCCCCGGCTGTGACCCAAAAAGCAAAAAAAAAAAAAACAAAAAAAAACTCCCCCAGGACAAGCCGTGGCTTGGGGTGTTAGGATCTCATCCGACTTTATCAAATGAAGTCTGGAGGATGGTCAATCGGAACGCACTTAATTACTTGTAGTAAATCTACTTTTTTTTTTTTTTTGGGTCCCACCCGGCGATGCTCAGGGCTTCCCCTCCTGGTTCTGCACTCAGGAATCACTCCTGGCCGTGCTCGGGGGACCCTACGGGATGCTGGGAATCGAACCCGGGTCTGCCACGTGCCAGGCTGATGCACTCCCCGCTGGGCTATCACTCCAGCCCCTCTCCCTTCCTCCCTCCCTCCCTTCCTTCCTTCCTTCCTTCCTTCCTTCCTTCCTTCCTTCCTTCCTCCTTCCTTCCTCCCTCCCTCCCTCCCTCCCTCCCTCCTTCCCTCCCTCCCTCCCTTCCTTTCTTCCTTCTCCTTCTTTCCTTCCTTCCTTCCTTCCTTCCTCCCTCCCTCCCTCCCTCCCTCCCTTCCTTGCTTCCTTCCTTCCTCCTTCCTTCCTTCCTTCCTTCCTTCCTTCCTTCCTTCCTTCCCTCCTTCCTTCCTTTCCTTCCTTCCTCCCTCCCTTCCTTCTTCCTCTCTTCCTTCCTCCCTTCCTCCCTCCCTCCCTTCCTTCCTTCCTTCCTTCCTTCCTTCCTTTCTCCTTCCCTCCTTCCTTCCTTCCTTCCTTCCTTCCTTCCTTCCTTCCTTCCCTCCTTCCTTCCTTTCCTTCCTTCCTCCCTCCCTTCCTTCTTCCTCTCTTCCTTCCTCCCTTCCTCCCTCCCTCCCTTCCTTCCTTCCTTCCTTCCTTCCTTCCTTCTCCTTCCTTCCTTCCCTCCTTTCTTCCCTTCCTTTTTCCCCTCCCTCTCTCCCTCCCTCCTTCCCTTCTTTTTTTCTTTCTTTTCTTTCTTTTTGGGTCCCACTCAGTGATGCTCAGGGCTTCCTCCTGGCTCTGCACTCGGGAATCCCTCCTGGCGGTGCTCGGGGGACCCGATGGGATGCCGGGCATCCAACCCGGGTCGGCCGCGTGCCAGGCAATCGCCCTTTCCGCTGGAATATCATTCTATCCCCCCTGTGGGATTTTTTTTGCGGCATTTCCAGCCTTTGCCGTTCAGTTCCGAGACCATGGTGCCCCTTGGGACGTGAGCTGAAGTTTGGCCGCAGCCGTTGGAGATCTCCGGGGCCACCAGTGGCCTGTCCCGTGTCTCTCTGGCCGACCTCCCTGTCCCTGCTGTTTTCCCTGTGCAGGAAAGTGGCATCAGGGTCTGAGCTGTGCATCCCGCGACGATCACTGCTACCATCCTCTGAACCACGGCTTTGACTTCTTCTACGGCCTTCCCTTCGGGATGTTGAGCGACTGCCTGAGGTCCGGGACCCCCCGAGCTCCACCGAGGGCTGACCATTAAGCTCTGGGTCTCCACGGTGATGCTAGCCCTGGTACCGCTCCTGCTCCTCATTCCCAAGTTTGCCGGCTGGTTCCCGGTGCCCTGGATGCTCATCATCACGCTCGCCCTGCTGGTCTTCTTGTTCTTCGTCTCCTGGTTCTCCAGCTACGGCTTTGTCCGCCGCTGGAACTGCATCCTCATGAGAGACCACGAAATCATCCAGCAGCCCATGAAGGAAGAGAGAGTTTCCAGTCTCTTGCTGAGGGAGGCGCTGGCTTTCATCGACAGGTATTAAGGCGTGTTTCTGGCCGCGCCCCCGTCCCCGGGCACGGCTTTGGTTGTACGGGACGAGAGCAAATGAACCTTCTCACTTTGTCGTCTTCATTTTCTACCTCCACTTCCTCCCCATCCCATCACGTCACAGTGACCTTCTTTTCATCCTGTTTCACCTGTTGATCTCTTTGATAAGTTTCTGGGACAGGGGCCAGTGAAATTCAAGAGTATTTTTCTCTCCTCTCCTCCCCTCCCACTTGGGACATACTTTGCTTGTCTCACATGCTGGGTAATTTTTCCCCAGGTCACTGCAAATAGGCAGAGTCTCTCTCTCCTCTCTCTCCCTCTTTCTCTCTCTCTCTCCCCCTCTTTCTCTCTCTCTCTCTCTCTCCCTCTTTCTCTCTCTCTCCCTCTTTCTCTCTCTCTCCCTCTTTCTCTCTCTCTCCCTCTTTCTCTCTCTCTGTTCCTCTCTCTTTCTCTCTCTCTCTCTCTCTGTGTCTCTCTCTGATGCTCTCAGTACTTGCTCCTGAATCTGCACTCAGGGACCATTTCTTGTGGTTCTCAGGGACCCATATTGGGTTCCAGGGATTGAACTGGCGTGACAGTGCGCAAGGCAAACGCCCTACATGTTGTCCCATCTCTCTGCCCCTGAACTCCCTCTTTCACAGAATAATTCTTGCGTATGTAGGTAGTTCCTCTCTGGTTCCAGATGTAGTTTTTTTTTTTTTCTTTTCGGGTCACACCCGGTGATGCACATGGGGTTCCTCCTGGCTCATGATGCACTCAGGAATCCCTCCTGGCGGTGCTCGGGGGACCCTAGGGGATGCTGGGAATTGAACCCGGGTCGGCCGTGTGTGCCAGGCCAATGCCCTCCCTGCGGGGCTATCACTTCAGCCACTCTTCCTTCCTTCCCTCCTTCCTTCCTTCCTTCCTTCCTTCCTTCCTTCCTTCCCTCCCTCCCTCCCTCCCTCCCTCCCTCCCTCCCTCCCTCCTTCCTTCCTACCCTCCCTCCCTCCCTCCCCCCTTTCTTCCTTCCTTCCTTCCTTCCTTCCTTCCCTCCCTCCCTCCCTCCGTCCTTCCTTCCTTCCTTCCTTCCTTCCCTCCTTCCCTCCTTCCCTCCTTCCTTCCTTCCTTCCTTCCTTCCTTCCTTCCTTCCTTCCCTCCCTCCCTCCCTCCCTCCCTCCCTCCCTCCCTCCCCCCTTCCTTCCTTCCTTCCTTCCTTCCTTCCTTCCTTCCTTCCCGCCTTCCTTCCTTCCTTCCTTCCTTCCCTCCCTCCCTCCCTCCCTCCCTCCCCTCTTCCTTCCTTCCTTCCTTCCTTCCTTCCTTCCTTCCTTCCTTCCCGCCTTCCTTCCTTCCTTCCTTCCTTCCTTCCTTCCTTCCTTCCTTCCTTCCCTCCCTCCTTTCTCCCCTTCCTTCCTTCCCTCCCACCATCCCTCTCTTCCCTCTCTCTCTCCCTCCTTCTCTCCTCCCCTTCTTTCTTTTTTTCTTTCTTTTCTTTCTTTTTGGGTCCCACCCGGCAATGCTCAGGGGTCCCTCCTGGCTCTGCACTCAGGAATCCCTCTGGGCAGTGCTCGGGGGACCATTCAGGATGCTGGGAATCGAACCCAGGTCGGCCATGTGCCAGGCAACGCCCTCCCCGCTGGGCTCTCGCTCCAGACCCCCGTGTGGTCCTTCTTACAGACACAGGCTGGAGGATGCGTCTCCCTGAGCGTGGTGAGAACGCATCCCGGTCCGCTGCATAGTCCACCCTCTGCCGGACCAAGAGCCTCGGGTCAGAGCCAGCTTCTCTCTGGTGCCAGAGGCGACCGTGAGCGGCTGCATCCAACGGATTCTCTTCTGCTCTTCCTTCACCCCTCCCCGTTCCCTGTGTGGCCCCTGCATGACCCCGGATAACGTTGGTGCTGGTCAGCCCGGCAGGAGACCATCATTGGGATGGTCCAGCCTGCGCAGATGGTGTGTGAGGTGCCTTCTCGTCCACGGGACGGTCACTCATGGGCTCCTCTGCCCTCCCGCAGGTATAAGCGTGGCCCGTTTCTCCTCTTTGTGTCTTTCCTGCACGTCCGGACCCCGCTCATCACCCGAGAGAAGTTTGTGGGGCGCAGCAAATACGGACCCTACGGTGACAGCGTGGAGGAATTGGATTGGATGGTCGGTAAGTGCTCACGGAGCACCCATGGGGTGATTTCAGGACCCTACCTGTTTGGCTCAGGGGTTCCTCCTGGCTCTGTGCTCGGGAGTCAGTCCTGGTGGGGCTGAGGGGGGTCCCTAGGGGCTGCCTCGGTTGGCCGCATGCGAAAAAGGGCGACTTACCTGGTGGACTTTCTCTCCAGCCCCCTTCTAGAAGTTTTTTTTGGATTTTTGGGTCCCACCTGGCGATGCTCAGGGCTTCCTTCTGGCTCTGCACTCAGGAGTCACTCCTGGCGGTGCTCGGGGGACCCTAGGGGATGCTGGGAATCGCACCCGGGTCGGCTGCGTGCAAGGCCAACGCCCTCTCCGCTGTGCTATCGCTCCAGCCCCACTGCCCTATAATTTTATATGACGCGGTTATTTCATGTATTCTTGTCTGTCATTATCTAATTACGAAGAACGATCGCTTTTATAGCTAAGTGTTTTATTACATACTTACGTGGGTCGTATCGTATATGAATAAATTTAACACCTCATGATAAGTATTACGTGGAGTTTTAATAGCTGGTGTGTGCACATGTTTTTATAAGATTGGTACAGTTACTATGCATTGTTGTATATTTATATATATATATATAAATTTATTGTGGTTAACCCTTTAGTGTACCACGAGCAGGAGCGATAGCACAGCGGTAGGGCGTTCGCCTTACAAGCGGCCAACATGGCCGACCCGAGTTCGATTCCTCCGCCCCTCTCGGAGAGCCCGGCAAGCTACCGAGAGGATTCGATATGCCAGACACAGTAACAACAAAGTCTCCAATGGAGACGTTACTGGGCCCGCTCGAGCAGATCGACGATCAACGGGAGGGCCTTTACCCCCTGGGCTGGAGCGCTAGCACAGCGGGTAGGGCGTTCGCCTTACACGCGGCCAACATGGCCGACCCGAGTTCGATTCCTCGGCCCCTCCCGGAGAGCCCGGCAAGCTACCGAGAGTATTCGATATGCCAGACACAGTAACAACAAAGTCTCCAATGGAGACGTTACTGGGCCCGCTCGAGCAAATCGACGATCAACGGGAGGGCCTTTTACTAGAAATATTATATATTTAAAATAAAAACAATTATACAAATAAAATATAAATATATATTATATATTATATATATTATATATATATGCATAGCACAGTCGTAGGGTGTTTGCCTTGCACGTGGTTGGCCCGGTCGACCTGGGTTCGATTCCTCCGTCCCTCTCGGAGAGCCCAGCAAGCTACCGAGAGTATCTCGCCCGCACGGCAGAGCCTGGCAAGCTCCCCGTGACGTATTCGATATGCCAGACACAGTAACAACAAAGTCTCCGATGGAGACGTTTCTGGGCCCGCTCGAGCAAATCGATGAACTATGTATAATATATGTATATATAATGTATATGTAATGTATAATGCAATCTATAATGATATATTTATCGTATATCCTGTATAATTATATTATGGTCTATCGTATATTATAGTATATCCTACATAGGTCAATATGATAGAATGTTCTAATTATAGTATATCCTTCACATAGGATTATGCCACTGTCACGGCCACCGTCCTCCCGTTGTTCATCGGTTTGCTCGAGCGGGCCCAGTAACGTCTCCATTGGAGACTTTGTTGTTACTGTGTCTGGCATCTCGAATACGTCACGGGGAGCTTGCCAGGCTCTGCCGTGCGGGCGAGATACTCTCGGTAGCTTGCCGGGCTCTCCGAGAGGGGCGGAGGAATCGAACTCGGGTTGACAATGTGGGTCACGTGCAAGGCAAATGCCCTACCTGCTGTGCTATAATCATACTTACTTGTATGCATTTTATTTTATTATTATTATTATTATTTTCCTTTTTGGGCCATGAGGAGTCTCATGCTGAGTGAACTGAGTCAGAAAGAGAGGGGCAGACATAGAAGGACTGCATTCATTGGAATGTAAAATAACATAACAGGAGACGGATACCCAAGGACACTAGTCACAAGGGCCAGGGAGATTGCCCCATGGTTGGCAGCTGCCTCATGAGCTGGGAGAGAAGGCGGCTGGGATGGAGAAGGGGTCACTGAGTCAGGGAGGGTTGGAGGGGTTGCTCGGGGTGAGAGATGTGTGCTGAAAGTAGACAAAGAACCCAACGTGATGGCCTCTCACTGTCTGTATTGCAAACCGTAATGCCTAAAAGAGGAGAGAGAGAGAGGGAGAGAGAGGTGTCTGCCATAGAGACAGGCTAGAGAGGGCAGTGATGGGAGGGAACTTGGGGTTATGTGCTGGGAACTGTGTCCTGGTGGAGGAATGGGTGTTGTGCTGGATCATCGTATGACTGAAACCCAACCATGAACAGCTTTGTAACTGTGTGTCTCACCGTGACTCAATTAGAAAATAGACCCCCCAACATCCTACCCCAAGGTCACAGGACATCTGTCAATAAAATTATTAATATGTATTGATCTCCGTTCCCTGCCTGGGGGGACGTCTTCCTCCTGCGGCTTCTCCCATTGGACGGGAAGAGGGCAGACAGTCACTTTATACACCAGAAAAACCTCCTCGATTGCTAGATATTAAGCAGCATTAAGAGACTGTATCCATTGCATCATACCCCGCAGTTCTATGGGGTGACCCTCGGGCAGCCAGAAATCTGCCATGTCTTCCTGTTGTCTTTCCCTGCCAGGAAAGATCCTCCAGCGTCTAGACCAGGAACAGCTGAGTAACTGCACCCTCGTGTACTTCACCTCCGATAACGGGGGTCACCTGGAGGCCCGGGGCAGGGGGGTCCAGCTGGGCGGCTGGAATGGAGTCTACAAAGGTGATGGCCGGGATGGTGGGCGTCTGGGCGTTCTCTGCACAAACACCACCTTATGGGACCCTTGGTCCGTTTCCTGCCGATCTCTCTCTCTCTCTCTCTCTCTGCGTTTCGCTTGCCTGGAGTCGTTCGTTCTTTCCCTGCAATATTTCCGGACATCCTGCAGGTGGGTGGGTTGGGAGGGGGGTCCTTCTGCATCTCTGCCTCTTCCTCTACCGCAGTGCACTCAGCGTAACACTCTCCAGCTCCATCTACAGAACAGCCAAGAGTGTGATTTCATCTTTGCTCATGGCTGCGTTGTATTCCATAGTGTATTCCGTGGAGTACGACCAGGATTTCTTTTTTTATTTTATTATTATTATTTTTTTCTTTTTGGGTCACACCTGGTGATGCACCGGGTTTCCTCCTGGCTCTGCACTCAGGAATGACTTCTGGCGGTTCTCGGGGGACCCTATGGGAGGCTGGGGATCGAACCCGGGTCGGCCACGTGCAAGTAAAATGCCCTACCCGCTGTGCTATGTCACTTCGGCCCCACGACCAGGATTTCTTTATCCAGTTGTCTGTGCTTGGACACTTGGTTTGTTTCCAGATTCACAACGATTGGACATGGACCAAGGACTGCAGTGGATTCTTCAATGACCAGAGCACTGCAGGGGGCTCTTCTGAGTGGGATTTTGGGGCTCTTGGGGATGACGTCCAGAGGAGGAATTGTTGGCTCGGATGGGAGTGAAAATCCTCCAAATCATCTTTGAAGAAGAGTCTGTTTTGTTTTTCAAGAAGGCTAGACCAGGGGTTGGACCGATAGTACAGCAGGGAGGGTGTGGGCCTTGCACACAGCCAACCTGGGTTCAATCCTCAGCATCCTACATGGTCTCTTGAGCCCCGCCAGGAGTGATTCCTGAGTGCGGAGCCAGGAGTAACCCCTGAGCATCACCAGGTGGGACCCAAAAAGCCAAAACAGGAGGAGGAGGAGGAAGAGGCAGAAGAAGATAATGATGAAGATGACAGAAGATGACGGGTTGGAGCGATAGTACAGTGGGTAGGGCATTTGCCTTGCATGTAGCTGATCCGGGTTCGATTCCTAGCATCCCATAGGGTCCCCCCCAAGCACCGCCAAGAGAAATTCCTGAGCGCAGAGCCAGGAGGAACCCCTGAGCATCATTGGGTGTGACCTAAAAAGCAAAAAAAAAAAAAGAAGAAGAAGAAGATGAGGAGGAGGAGGAGGAGAAGAAGAACAGGAGGAGGAGGAGGAGGAGAAAGAAGATAATGATGACATAGGTGATGAAGAAAATGATGATGACGAAGATAACAGAAGAAAAATAGAAGGAGGAGGAGGAGAGATGGAGGAGAAGATGAGAAGAAAGAAGAAGAGGAGGAGGAGAAGAAGGAGGAGAAGGAGAAGAAGAAGAAGAAGGAGGAGGAGGAGGAGGAGGAGGAGGGGAAGAAGGAATAAGAAGGAGGAAGAAGGAGGAGGAGAAGAAGAAGAAGAAGAAGAAGAAGAAGAAGAAGAAGAAGAAGAAGAAGAAGAAGAAGAAGAAGAAGAAATGGAGGAGGAGGGGAGAGCGGAGGAGGAGGTGGAGGTAGAAGAAGATAGTGATGACGAAGATGATGAAGAAAAAAGATGATGATGATGACAAGGAAGAAGAGACGGAGGAGGAGGAAGAGAAATAGAAGGAGGAGGAGGAGGAGAAGAAGCAGAAGAAGCAGAATCAAGGAAGAATCAAGGAAGAATCAAGGAACAGGAGAAGGAAGAAAAGAAGAAACAGCAGATCTTGTAGTTTTGTAGCCCCGGGAGAATGAATGACACCACTTCTCTGTCTGTCTCTCTGTGTCTCCTGTCTCTGTCTCTGTGTCTCCCCCTGAGAGCAGCAAGCAGGACACTCACGTCCGTCTTCCCCCCTTGCCTGCAGGTGGTCGAGGCATGGGGGGCTGGGAAGGCGGCATCCGGGTGCCCGGCATCTTCCGGTGGCCCTCGGTCCTGGAGGCGGGCAAGGTGGTGGACGCGCCCACCAGCCTGATGGACATCTACCCCACCCTCTCCTACGTCGCCGGAGGGGTCTTGCCCCTGGACAGGTACGGCTGGTCTCGCCCTTCACCCTGGGCCCTGTCCTGGCTGCTCTTCTGCAGGGGGTGTCCAGCCCTGGGCTCGCTTGAGTGACCGCCCCCAGGGACACTCGCCCTTCGGTGGCCAGTGGAATCACGTCTGTGGCTCGTGCTTCGAGGGTGTTGTGTGTCCTCTTCCTCTTCCTCCTTCTCGTCCTCTTCATCCTCCTTCTCTTCTGCCTCTTCCTCCTCCTTCTCTTCCTCCTCTTCCTTCTCCTCTTCTTCCACCTCCTCTTCCTCTTCCTTCTCCTCCTTTTCCTCTTCCTCCTCGTCTTCCTCTTCCTCTTCCTCCTTCTCTTCCTCTTCATCCTCTTTCTCTTCCACCTCTTCCTCCTCTCTCTTTCTCCTCTTCCTCTTCCTCCTCCTCTTCTTCCTCCTCCTCCTCTTCCTCCTCCTCCTCTTCCTCTTCCTCCTCGTCTTCCTCTTCTTCTCTCTTCCTGCTCCTCTTTCTGTTCATCTTCTTTCTCCTTCTCTTCTTTTTCCTCCTCTTTTTCCACCTCTTCCTCCTCCTCTTCCTCTTCTTCCTCTTCCTTTTCCCTTTCCTCCTTTCCTCTTCCTCCTTTTCCTTATCCTCCCCTCCTCCATCTCTCCTCCCCCCTTCTTCCTCTTTCTTTTCTTCTTCTCTCCTCTCACCTCCTCCTTTCATTCCCCTTCGACGCTTCTTTCCCACTTCCCCTTCTCCCCCCCTTTCCTCTCCACCTCTCACTCCTCCTCATCTCTGTCTCATTTTCCCCTTCTTCCTCTCCTTTCTCCTCTCCCTCCTCTTCTCCGTCCCTCTCTTCTCCCTTGTCCTGTTGGAAGATCAGCACCTGCCCTACTGAAGCTCCCTGAGCCCCTGGAACGTGGGGACGGTCTGTCTTTCTGGGACGAGGGTCCTCAAAGATGCTTGCACGCTGTGTGGCCAAGCCCAAACACACACACACACACACACACACACACACACACACACACACACGGGCCGTAGACTCGTACCTACAGGGCAGAGTTGTTTTGGGATAGTGCAGGGGTGTCACAACGAGATGGATTAGGTGCTGATTCCGAGCTGGAAAGGAGAAGTAGAAGGAGAAAACGAAGATGGAGAAAAAGAAGAGGAGGAGGAGGAGGAGAAGATGAAGAAGAAGAAGAAGAAGAAGGAGGAGGAGGAGGAGGAGAAGAAGAGAAGGAGAAAGAGAAGAAGAAGAGGAGGAGGAGAGAAGAAAAGAAGAAGAAAGAGATGGAGGAGGAAAATTAGAAGGAGGAGATGAAGGAAAAGAAGGAGGAGGAGGAGGATGAAGAGAATACGGATAAGAATGAGGAGGATTGGAGGAGGAGATGGAGGAGAAGAAGAGGAAGATGAGAAGAAGGAGGAGGAAGAGGAGAACGAGGCAGAGGAGGAGGATGAAAAGAATGAGGGGGAGAATGAGGAGGAAGAGGAGGAGCAGGATGAAGAGAAGGAGGAGGAGAAGTAACACGAGGAGGAGGAGGAGGGACGGAGGAGAAAGAGAAGGAGGAGGAAAAGAAGAAAAAGGCGGAGGAGGAGGAGGAAAATGAGAAGGAGGAGATAAAGGAGGAAGAGGAGGACAAAGGGAATGAAAATAAGAATGAGGAGGAGAAGAGGAAGATGAAAAGAAGGAGGAGAATGAGGCAGAAGAGAAGGAGAAGGAGAAAGAATGAGGATAAGGAACACAGTGAGGCAGGGGAGGAAGAAGAGAAGGCAGAGAAGAAGAGGAGGGGAGGAGGAAAATGAGGAGGAGGAAGAAAAGGAGAATGGGGCAGAGGAGGAGGAAGAGTGGAGGAGGACAAAGAGAATGAGGAAAAGAATGTGGAGGAGGAAGGGGAAGATGAGGAGGAAGACGAGAAGGAGAAAGAAGGAAAGTTGGAGAAGAGGGAGAAGAAGGAAGACGAACAGGAAGTCGAGAAGGAGGAGGATGAGGAAAAGGAGAAGGAGGAGTGAATTCTGCGGTTCCAAGGGCTACCACGAGGTGTCACGGGCTCTCCACGAGCCCACGCACAGGTGGGACAATGAGCTTTGCAGGTGTGTGGCCTCTTGGTCGTCTCAAGCCCCCTGGCCACCGGTCGAAGCCACAAGCCCCGCGGATAGGTGGTCAGGGAACGCCCCGCCTACATCCGAGGCAGGGTTTGGGGGCTTTCCCGCGTGAACCCGGCAGCCTGGAGGGTCCGGGAGCTGGCACCAGGAAGAGTCCCAGCCCCCGGTCTCCACCGCTGGTTGTCACCAGACGGTCAGCCTGTCCCCCTCGCCCCACAGAAAGATCGACGGGCGCAATCTGATGCCACTGCTCGAGGGGCGGGTGTCCCACTCGGAGCACGAGTTTCTCTTCCACTACTGCGGGGTCTACCTGCACGCCGCCCGCTGGTACCAGAAGGACTGTGAGTATAAGGCGGTGGTCCGGCATCGTGGCGGGGGATGGGGGCCGTCCAGACACTTCCCTGGCTCTGGGTCTTGGGGGGGGGGGTCTGAGGGGCGTGTGTGTGAGAGAGAGACCGAGACAGAGAGACACACAGAGACATAGAGAAAGAGAGAGAGAGAGAGAAAGAGAGAGAGAGCACTTGCTGGCTGGCATTGGGGGCTCTCATTGGGACCTTTCCCTATCTCTTGGTCTTGGTGGAAATTATGAAGGCTGTGTGTGTGTGTGTGTGTGAGAGAGAGAGAGAGAGACAGAGAGACAGAGAGACAGACAGACAGAGACAGATGGAAAGAGAGACAGAGCACTGCTTGGCTGGTTGTGTGTGTGTGAGAGAGAGAGAGACAGAGAGCACTGCTTGGCTGGCATTGTGGGGCCCCCATTGGGACACTCTTGTCTCTTGATCTTGGGGGAAGTTGTGAGGGGTTTGTGTGTTTGTGTGTATGTGAGAGAGAGAGAGAGACAAAGAGAGAGAGAGTGTCTGGATGGCATTGGGGGGCCACCTTAAGGACCTTTCCTGATGTTGGGGGGAGTTATGAAGGGTGTGTGTATGTGTGTGTGTGTGTGTGTGTGTGAGAGAGAGAGAGAGAGAGAGAGAGAGAGTACTGGCTGGCTGGCATTGGGGACCCCCATCAAGACCCTTTCCTTTCTCTTGATCTGGGCAGGAGTTATGAGGGTGTGTGTGTGTGTGTGTGTGTGTGTGTGTGTGTGTGTGTGTGATCGCCAGCTGGCTGGCATTGGGGGCCCCCATTGGGATATTTCCTGTCGCTTGATCTTGGGGGAAGTTCTGAGGGGTTTCTGTGTGTGTGTGTGTGTGTGTGTGTGTGTGTGTGTGTGTGTGTGTGTGAAAGAGAGAGAGAGAGACAGAGACAGAGACAGAGAGAGACAGAGAGAGAGAGACAGAGTGTGTCTGGATGGCATTGGGGGCCCCCATCAGGACCCTTCCCTGTCTCTTCATGTTGGAGGGAGTTATGAGGTGTGTGCGTATGTGTGTGTGTGCATGTGTGTGTATCTGTGTCCGTGTCTGTCACTGTGTTTGTGTGTGTGTGTGATCACCATCTGGCTGGCATTGGGGGCCCCCATTGGGACACTCTTGTCTCTTGATCTTGGGGGAAGTTCTGAGGAGTTTGTGTGTGTGTGTGTGTGAGAGAGAGCGACAAAGAGAAAGAGACAAAGAGAGAGTGTGTCTGGATGGCATTGGGGGACCCCATTAGGACCCTTCCCTGTCTCTTGATGTTGGAGGGAGTTATGAAGGGGGTGTGTGTGTGTGTGTGTGTGTGTGTGTGAGAGAGAGAGAGAGAGAGACAGAGACAGAGACAGGGACAGAGAAAGAGCACCGGCTGACTGGCATTGGGGTGTGTGTGTGTGTGTGTGTGTGTGTGAGAGAGAGAGACAGAGACAGAGACAGAGACAGAGAAAGAGCACCGGCTGACTGGCATTGGGGGCCTCATCGGGACCTTTTCCTGTCTCTTGATCTGGGCAGGAGTTATGAGGGTGTGTGTGTGTGTGTGTCTGTGTCTGTGTCTGTGTCTGTCTGTGTCTGTCTGTGTGTCTTTGTGAATGTGTGTGTGTGTGTGATCACCAGCTGGTTGGCATCGGGGGGCCATAATCAGCACCCTTCCCTGTCTCTTGATCTTGGAAGGAGTTATGAGGGTGTGTGTGTGTGTGTGTGTGTCTGTGTCTGTGTGTCTTTGTGAATCTGTATGTGTGTGTGTGTGTATGTGTGTGTGTGATCACCATCTGGCTGGCATTGGGGGCCCCCACTGGAACACTTCCTGTCTCTTGATCTTGGGGGAAGTTCTGAGTAGTTTGTGTGTGTGTGTGTGAGAGTGTGTGTGTGTGTGTGTGTGTGTGTGTGATCAGCTGGTTGGCATCGGGGGTCCATAATCAGGACCCTTTCCTGTCTCTTGATCTTGGAAGGAGTTATCAGGGTGTGTGTGTGTGTGTGTCTGCGTCTGTCTGTGTGTGTTTGTGAATCTGTGTTTGTAAATCTGTGTGTGTGTGTGTGTGTGTGACACTGGCATGTGTGCATGTGTGTGTACCCTCAGCCACCTGGAGGGGTTGGGAGTAAGGGAGAGGAAGAGCCAGGGGCGGACACAGAGAGAATCACATCCGTGCACCTCGAACCCATCCTTTCCCTGGGGGTGAATTCTCTGCCCATCTCTCCTTCTGCCCAAGGGACAGACGCCCGCCCGCCGTGCTGTCTGTCCTGCCTCTGGGGATCCCGTTTCCGGATTCTTCCCTTGTGGGACTTGAGTCTCAGTGAAGCTCGAATGCTGCTTGCCCGGCTTGCACGCGTGTGCGTCTTCAACTAGCGTGTGCGAGAGTAGTCGGTCATGGGAAACAGAACCCGGCCCCTCCTCTTTCGAGTCAAGTCTGCTAGCTAAAGCCACACCTTGAGGAAAAGTCATGGAACAAAATCGTGCTCCAACCCCCAAAACAAAACACTCTGATTTTCTGTTGCTTTGGGGTCCAACTTGGCGATGCCCAGGGGTCCCTGATTTTGTGTTGCTTTGGGGTCCCACCTGGCGATGCCCAGGGGTCCCTGAGTTTGTGTTGCTTTGGGGTCCCACCTGGTGATGCCCAGGGGTCCCTGATTTTGTGTTGCTTTGGGGTCCCACCTGGCGATGCCCAGGGGTCCCTGATTTTGTGTTGCTTTGGGGTCCCACCTGGCGATGCCCAGGGGCCCCCGATTTTGTGTTGCTTTGGGGTCCCACTGGCGATGCCCAGGGGTCCCTGAGTTTGTGTTGCTTTGGGGTCCCACTGGCGATGCCCAGGGGTCCCTGATTTTGTGTTGCTTTGGGGTCCCACTGGCGATGCCCAGGGGTCCCTGAGTTTGTGTTGCTTTGGGGTCCCACTGGCGATGCCCAGGGGTCCCTGATTTTCTGTTGCTTTGGGGTCCCACCTGGCGATGCCCAGGGGTCCCTGAGTTTGTGTTGCTTTGGGGTCCCACCTGGTGATGTCCAGGGGCCCCTGATTTGTGTTGCTTTGGGGTCCCACCTGGCGATGCCCAGGGGTCCCTGAGTTTGTGTTGCTTTGGGGTCCCACTGGCGATGCCCAGGGGCCCCTGATTTGTGTTGCTTTGGGGTCCCACCTGGCGATGCCCAGGGGTCCCTGAGTTTGTGTTGCTTTGGGGTCCCACCTGGTGATGCCCAGGGGCCCCTGATTTGTGTTGCTTTGGGGTCCCACCTGGCGATGCCCAGGGGTCCCTGATTTTGTGTTGCTTTGGGGTCCCACCTGGTGATGCCCAGGGGCCCCTGATTTGTGTTGCTTTGGGGTCCCACCTGGCGATGCCCAGGGGTCCCTGATTTTGTGTTGCTCTGGGGTCCCACTGGCGATGCCCAGGGGCCCCTGATTTGTGTTACTTTGGGGTCCCACCTGGCGATGCCCAGGGGTCCCTGATTTTGTGTTGCTCTGGGGTCCCACTGGCGATGCCCAGGGGTCCCTGATTTTGTGTTGCTTTGGCGTCCCACTGGCGATGCCCAGGGGTCCCTGAGTTTGTGTTGCTTTGGGGTCCCACTGGCGATGCCCAGGGGTCCCTGATTTTCTGTTGCTTTGGGGTCCCACCTGGCGATGCCCAGGGGTCCCTGAGTTTGTGTTGCTTTGGGGTCCCACTGGCGATGCCCAGGGGTCCCTGAGTTTCTGTTGCTTTGGGGTCCCACTGGCGATGCCCAGGGGTCCCTGATTTTCTGTTGCTTTGGGGTCCCACTGGCGATGCCCAGGGGTCCCTGAGTTTCTGTTGCTTTGGGGTCCCACCTGGCGATGCCCAGGGGTCCCTGAGTTTGTGTTGCTTTGGGGTCCCACCTGGCGATGCCCTGGGGTCCCTCCTGGCTCTGTGCTCAGGAATCATTCCTGGCAGTGCTCAGGGGAGCCTATGGATTGCCGGGCACCGAACCCGGGTCAGCTGCCCTGCAAAGCAAGCTCTCTCCCCGCTATCCATCGTATCTTTCTGTCCCGGACTCCCGAATGTTGCTCTGGTCATCAAACAGAGAGAATCTAGTGCAAAGAATTCCAGAAGGGCCGGTGTGACCGTGGAGCGGGGAGGGGGCTTGCCTGGCCCACAGCTGATCAGGGTGCGATGCCCGGCATCCCAATGGGACCCCAAGCTCATCTGGAAACAGAATGAAGGAGGAGGGGAAGGAATGGGAATGGCAGGGGAGGAGGGGTGGGAGGGTTGGTGTGATACCCCCCGGTGGTGGCCATGACCTCCGAGACAGGGGCCCTTCAACGGGTGCAGCCGGTCCCAAGGGCCTCCACCCACCCACCCACCACCCAGCCCTCCCCGCCCGCCTCCTTGCAGGTGCCACGGTGTGGAAGATCCACTTCGTGACGCCCCGCTCCTCGCCCGAGGGGTCGGGCGCCTGCCACGCCAGCGGCCTGTGCCCCTGCTGGGGGCCGGCCGTGACCCGCCACGACCCCCCGCTGCTCTTCGACGTGTCCCGGGACCCGTCGGAGCAGCACCCGCTGAGCCCCGACAACGAGGTGCTGTTCGACTCGGTGCTGCGGAAGGTGGAGGCGGCCGTGCGCGCCCACCGGGCCACCCTGTCCCCGGCCCCCCGGCAGCTGTCGGCCTTCGGAAGCCTCTGGAAGCCGTGGCTGCAACCGTGCTGTGGCTGTTTTCCCTTCTGCGGCTGTGACAAGGAGGACAGCGCCTTCCCCGCTGCACGGTGACACCAGACCCGGCTCAGCCCACCCTCCTGCCCGCCCTGGGCAGCTCCCACGGGGCCGGGCCCGCGTCTCCAAGCCACAAGTGCCACGTGCCAGGCAGCAGTCTTCCCTGCCGAGCCCCAAGATTGTATTTTTCTGGAGGGGGGTGCTTGGGTGGGTCTGCACGGAGGCGTCTGTCCTGGTGGGCCAGGGGGAGCCCACGGGATGCCGGGGATGGAACAACACAGAGCTCTCGTGGGCAAAGCCAGCACTCTCCTGGCTGTGCTCGCTGCCTTCTCTTTGTTCTTGAATCACTTTGAGACACAGTTACAAAGCTTTCAGGTTGGAGTTTCAGTCGTACCATGATGGAACCCCCATCCGTCCACCAGTGCCCATTCCCCACCACCAATGTCCCCAGTATCCCCCCCCATCCCATCCCTCCCCCTACCTCCATGGCAGACAGTCTCCCCCAGACTCTCTCTGTACTCTGGGGCAACATGGTTTGCAATACAGAGACTTTATCAATACGGATCCAATACACATCACGTTGGGTCCTTGGTCTACTCTCAGCACACATCTCCCATCCCGAGCGACCCCTCCAACCCTCCCTGACTCAGTGACCCCTTCTCCATCCCAGCCGCCTTCTCCCCCGCTCATGAGGCCGACATCCACCCATGCGGCAATCTCCCTGGCCCTGGTCTCGACTGTTCTTGAGAGTCAGTCTCGTATTACATTATTTTATTATATTGAATCACCATAAGATGCAGTTACCAAACTTTCATGTTTGAGTTTCAGTCATACAATGATGGGACCCCCATCCCTCCAGCAGTGCCCATTCCCCACCACCAATGTCCCCAGTATCCCCCCATCCCATCCCTCCCCCTGCCTCCAGGGCAGACAATCTCCCCCAGACTCTCTCTCGACTTTGGGGCATCAGGGTTTGCAATACAGACACTGAGATCAATACGGATCCAATACACATCATGTTGGGTCCTTGATCTACTCTCAGTACACATCTCCTATCCCGAGCAATCCTTCCATCCCTCCCTGACTCAGTGACCCCTTCTCCATCCCAGCTGCCTTCTCCCCCAGCTCATAAGTTGGGCGTCCATCCATGGAGCAATCTTCCTGGCCCTTGTCTCTACTGTTCTTGGGTATTAGTCTCCTATTATGTCATTTTATATCATACCAATGAGTGCAGTTCCTTTTTTTGGAGGGAGAGGGGGGTCATGCCCGGCGATGCACAGGGGTTCCTCCTGGCTCTTCACTCAGGAATTACTCCTGGTGGTGTTCAGGGGACCCTATGGGATGCTGGGAATTGAACCCGGGTTGGCCACGTGCGAGGCTAACGCCCTACCTGCTGTGCTATTTAGCCCCCGAGTGCAATCCTTCTATGTCCCTGTCTTTCTGACTCATGTCACTCAGCATGGTATTGTCCATGACCACCCACTTATAAGCAAATGTCATGACTTTATCTTTTTCTCACAGCTGCGTACTATTCCACTGTGTAGACGGACCAAAGTTTCTTTGATGTATTTTATGTATTTATTCTTTTGCCCTTTTTTGGAGTCACACCTGGCAATGCACACCAGGGAGTGCTCCTGGCTTTGCACTTAAGGAACGACTCCTGGCTGTGCTTGGAGGGCCCTATGGGATGCTGGGAATCGAACCCAGGTTGGCTGAGTGCAAGGCAAATGCTCCAGCCCCCATGTATTTTATTTTTAATGTCATATCTTTCTTTTTTGGGGGGGGTCCTCACACCTGCAATGCTCAGGGGTTACCCCTGGCTTTGCACTTAGGAATTACTCCTGGCGCTGCTCAGGAGACCATGTGGGATGCTGGCCATCGAACCTGGGTCGGCCGCCTGCAAGGCAAACGCCTCACCCGCTCTACTACTGCTCTGGTCCCTGTCTTGTCCTTGTTAAGGCAACCATCAACTCACCCCCAACTCTTTTTAAGGTTTTTCTTATTTTTTTTCTTTCCTTAAAAAAAATTTTTTTTATTGAATATCCATGAGATGGACCATGACAAAGTTGTCCATGATTGGGTTTCAGGCATACAAGGATCCAACCCCCATCCCTCCACCAGTGTACTTTTCCCATCACCAATATTCCCAGGTTCCCTCCTGCCACCCCCCAAGACCCCAGCCTGCCTCTGGGGCAGACACCTCTCTCTCTCTCTCTCTCTCTCTCTCTCTCTCTCTCTCTCTCTCTCTCTCTCTCTCTCCCCCCCTCTCACTCTCTCACTCTTGCTCTCTCGTTCTTTCACTCTCTTTCTCTCTCCCTTCATGCATCACGTTTTGCATATACAGGCGCTAAGAGGTCATCAGTTCATTGGTTTTACCAAACTCCCCTTTCCTTATGCCCTTGTGGTGTTCCTTGGAGTTCCGGGGAGCGATCACACCGGAAAAGCTGGTTTTTGACTCTTTCTGCTCTGGGGACCACTCCTGGTGATGGTCAGGGGTGATGGCGGGGCTTGGGGGACCGAAACCAAGCTTTGATCTTTGCTTTGTCACTTGCCCGGCAAGGACCCGACCTGGTACTCTTTCACTCCGATCCCCAAGATCCTATTTGTAATCTTTTCGGTTTTAATTGGTCAATTTTTGAAAAGTGTAACCAGCACCCTTCCTCTTGGCTCTGCGGTTCCTTGGAAATAAAGCTCTCCATGGCCTTTTCTGATTGTTTCTGTTGTTTGTTTTCTCAGTCCTGTCCCATCCTGGGGAGGCTTCCCCTGTCCTGGTCCAGCTCAGGGGTCACTCCTGGCCGTGCACGGTGAGGTCTTTGGGGAGCTGGGGATGGGATTGAGCTGGTCTCGGTTGCGTGCCAGGCTGGCGCTGTCCGAGACGTCCTATCACTCCGCCATTTGGATGCAATGACCAGACAGGACCAGAGGCAGTTCCTGCATCACAAATGACCTTGCACCCAGCCCACACTGGGTCTACTCCAACTCGTGATTTACTAGGTGGCCTAAAAGGGATTAATTGGACTCGGACTTGGTGGTGATGGGGGGAGTGATGTATATATATGGACGTGTTTGCATATATGTGCAGTGCGCCCCTGTAGTTTGACATCGCTTTGTCCTTTCTCCACAAGGAGCTTAGGTTTATCTGGTTACACCCATCACAGTGCTCCTGAGGCATTTCCGTTCCATTGTGTTTATCTGTAAATTCTTCCCTATGCTCTTCTCCACAACCAGTTTTCCCCCTAATCAGACTCTGTTAACTTGTAAGGTTAGATTCCTCAGAAATCTATGATTTTATATGTATGAGTGAAATATTGCCTTTCTCCTCTCCTTATGCCTTATCAACAGTTTACTTGAATGCAGTGTCCTTTTTTTCTATGATACAGGAAGACCGTTAACATGATGCTTTGTAACTTAGGATTTGATTGGCCTTGAATATTATTCACTCCCGGGCATCTGCTTTCTCGACTTAAGCCTCAGTTGCTCTTAGTTCCTAACACCCCAAAAGCAGGGTCCCGAAGAGGAACCGAATGGACCCAGGGCAAGCGGTGAGCTACCCTGGCATCGAAATGGGCCAGGCCAAAGTGCCACGATTCTTAACTATAAGTTAAGAGTTTGATCATAGACAAATGCTGTCATGATCCAAAGGTAACGACGAGACTAGGATCCTGCTAGGGGTGGGAAAGACTAACTGGCCTGAGCACTGTTGTCTGAGATCGAGATGGCCCTCGGAGAGCAATTCTATAAGTTTAATGTATTTCTTACTGTATCCATACAAAATGATTTATATTATATATGCTTATACGTTTGTTTGTTAGACAAGGAGAGGAGAAACACACCCATGGGAATCCGCTCTAGGGTGGATTGATCTGACAATGAGGATCTGTCCTAGGAGCGGATGTCCCCGAGGGAAAGAATTCTACCCCTATGTGTAATTATTACCCCAGCCCCTCATGCTTTGGGATTTAACTAGACTCTTAAGAGTGGGCTGGGAGATGAGGATCAGGATCGAGACTCCAGAGAAGGAGGATGAAGGGGGATGGAGAAGGAGAATGAAGTAGCATGGGGGAGGAAGAAGCCGAGGACGCAGAGGAGAGAGACCGGAGTGGATGGAGAGAGGATTGGAATCAACTGCGACAAAGACCAACCAGCCTGGCCCTCGTTTCCTTCCTTCGCCTGCCCATCACCTTCGACCTCCCCGGGGTGGGGAAACGCGGGCGGCGGGAGAGATAGAGCCACCGCCGCTGTGTGCTGTGCCCCTTTTTTGAGTTTACACACACCCCTGCTTGTATTCTAATTCTGCCAGGGCAAAATCCTTCCAGGACACCCTTACACAGGCCAATGATACTGTGCTCCTGTCTTTGAAATATGTACATTTTTTTGCTTTTGCTTAGACATTTGGTGCACCATCAATGGCATGAGAGCCTAGACTTACTTTTTTTTTTTTGGCTTTTTGGGTCACACCCGGCGATGACAGGGGTTCCTACTGGCTCTGCACTCAGGAATTACTCCTGGCGGTGCTCTGGGGACCCTGTGGGATGCTGGGAATCAAACTTGGGTCAGCCGCGTGCAAGGCAAACGCACTACCCGCTGGGCTATCACTCTAGCCCCTCTTCCTTCCTTCCTTCCTTCCTTCCTTCCTTCCTTCCTGTTCATCATCCCTCTCTCCCTCCCATCCTCCTCCATCCCTTCCTTCCTTCCTTCCCCAATTCTAACCTAACTTTCCTTCCTTCTCTCCCTCCTCCTTTCATCCCCCCTTCTCCTTTTCCTGCCTCTCCCCTTAATTTCTTTCTTTCCTTCTTCCCTCTCTCCTTTCTTCTCTTCCTTCCTTCCTTCCATCTTCCCTTCCTCCCTCTCTCCCTTCCTTCCTTCCTTCCTTCCTTCCTTCCTTCCTTCCTTCCTTCCATCTTCCCTTCCTCCCTCTCTCTCCCTTCCTTCCTTCCTTCTTTCTTTCTTTCTTTCTTTCTTTCTTTCTTTCTTTCTTTCCTTCCTTCCGTTTTTTGGGCCACACCTGGCGATAGTCAGGGCTCACTCCTAGCTCTGCGCTCAGGATAGCTAATGTG